TGGAGTGAACCCCAAACCTTAAACAAGCAAGGCCACTTATTTTTACGATTTTTTAAGAACCTGAAAAGTCTTTGAATGTCGGACTGGGCTGGGCTGGGCTGGGCTGAGGGTCTTCGAGGTGGATTTTCTCGTTTTTAGGCCTCAATTTCGACGGTTTGGGGTTCGGGCCTTGAAAGCCCAAATCCGAAAGGTTCAACGAAAGTACTCCGCAGGCCGCATTGCCAGTGGGCAGGCCCGCCAACGGCAGGGCCAGCATAAGGGCAAGACAATGAACCTCCAGCTCGTGGAGGTTGTTGTGACAAGGAATGCCCTATTGTAGCCACCCTTCTGCCTGCAAGGCGGAGATAAAAAAACCATCCATCCCCGCCACAAGCAGGCCACATGAACACATGACATAGGGCCTCAGGCTAGGATGTGAAGTGGCGAGCATTCGCGTTAAGGCGTTGCCTCGTCGGAGGGCATGTTGCCCTCTGTGGCGGCTGCACTTGAGCAAACCGCGGCGGAACCATAGAGTAGAATGAATTTTCAGAGCGATCGGCCTACAATGTAGCAGCTGCACCGTGGGGCACTGCCCTGCACTAATGGAAAGTTTTTTTGCACGGATGGGTGAGGAAGTTATCAGGCAGTTGGGGTAGCTTGTGAAGCGATGGACGGCCAGTAGTACAGCAACCACTGGATGGCAGTAGACAGCTCAATGCTCCGCGGTGGAAGATGTGACTGCAAGGCCAGGGGTCCCAGTGTGAGCAGAGGCAGGCACATGCAGACGTCCGAAGTGCGAGCTCTCGCGTGTTTGCACTCCGGCCTTTGTAGAGTTTTAGCGGTGATTGCGGAAATCAAGAAATGTGGCACACATGGGCCATGTAGCAAGCCGTTATTACAAATGGTTTCGAGCGCGTTGTGCAGACGTGCAAGACCGTGCACGTGTGTGCGCGTGTGCACATCGCCCGTTCGCAGCAATTTCTTCAGCTTTGGATACAAGCTTGACTTGCTTTTTCTGAGTCGGGCGGCGTGGGTGCATTCATGGGTAGATAAGAAGAAAATGATCGAAGCAGACCCTGCGCAAGTTGGACAGCAGCCCGTTGCTGAAGTTGCGCGGATTCCTTTGGCAGAATAAAGAAGATGCGGAAGCATGTTTTCAAGTTGTTCAAGCCTTGCAATGAGAATGCATGGTGAATGTTGAGGAAGAGGAGCAAAGGTAGGCACATTGACACAAGATGAAGAGATGCGCGCTTTTTCTCTTCACCTCGCCACTTACAAGCCCTGGAGCCCAGGCTGGCCTTGTGCTCTGCGCATTTTCTCTGCTGTCAACCACAGCGGGCGTGGGTGGCTGGGGATCAAACACGGAGGAGCACTTGATGTGCAGTGCGCTACTCGTAGAAGCAAGTGCGGCTTCGCGTCTGTTGCAATATGTCCGGCAGTCACAGGAGACTGCTGGGCAGCAAGTGCTCGCCTGAAGCCTTAGGGTTGTGTCCCTCGAAAGGGAAGTCTGAACAGACTGCTTCAGGCCGAAGCGCGCCCACGGAGCCTGATTGAAGCGGAGGCAGCTAGTGAGGCCTGCTGCAACAAGATTCGGACAGAGTTCCATCAATCATCTTGGCACACGCGCTAGGCTACACCACCAGTGGAGGCCAGAGAACGCTGCCGTTGGCTGTCAAGCGCTGTTGAGTGGCTGCAGGCTGAAGGAACGACGATGACTGCATCAGAGGCACCCGCACCCAGCCATGCAGCAAACTGATTGAGGAAAGCTCTCGTGGTACAGGCACGGGTCTTCGGTGCTGATTGTGCCGTTCATGCAGCTGCTGCGCTCTACGTAGCGTCATCGCTTGCGCCAAGGACGTGTGCAGGGCTCTTTCAGTTGCTGTCAAGTCTTCCTGCCACATAAGCAAGACTGCCTCCGTGCAGGACAAGCGCAACAACGTATGCATTGCGGGTGCCTGCGATGATGTATGACGAATATGACATGTTCAACTAGTTTCTCATGTCGATTGCTGCCAGCAGCTTGCCATCAGGTGACAGCCATCTTCTTGTCCTTGGGCTTGTACGGCTGGTCTTTGGTTGCTCCTAAGGCTGTGCCTGACTGCAACAGACCCGATGCCAAATGACTAGCGGAACATTTGTGAATCTGTGTTGGAGTCAGGTTTTGACTGGCAGGAGATTCAGCTGATGTGTGGCGCAGAACCTTCAAGTTTATCTTTCACTCCCTTAGTGGGACGTACTTGCGGAAGCTGCGCAGTCTGCCGCATGTGCAACTGTGGGCCATGCTGCTTGAACAAGTATGCTGGCTACACTGAGTTGCGACGCTGTTGTGTACAGGGCTGAGCTTAAGTTTCAGCTGCAGCTACGGCGTTGTGGGCTGTGCAGCTGGCATGACCACAAGTGACATAAGATGGCCGAGAAGCACTACTTAGTCACTACTTCCCAGGGGCGAGATGCTAATGTTGCAGCTGCCAGTCGTAAAGGCTTAGGATAGAAGTAGAACCGAAACGACCTCAACTTTAGCCGGAAAGACCCGGAAAGACCCGGAAAGGCAAGCTCACCCCAGATGATCCCATATGTTTCGATGCCTCTCGCACACATGCTGCTTGGGCTGGGCATTGGCAACGCTTGGGTGGCACTACGGATGAGACTTGCGCGAAGATTTGAGCCGAAACTCCCTTCTTGGCAGTCGAATCGAGATGCCTGGCTTCGTCATGCGTCAATCAGGTCAAATGAAGCTCTGTGCAGTCTTGCGAGCATCTTACCATCGATCTCTTTCCTGCTCTGTATGTTGCGATGCATCCGTTTTTGTCAGGTGCTTCTTGGCGACTGCACTTGCTGCAAAGACGCAGCCCTCGCAGGTACAGGCCCGGACGGATCACTTTAAGCCAGGGCAAGGGCCGGGGACTTCCTGAATCGGCCTAAAACTAGAAGGCTTTGGTGGGCCGCTTGCAACCAAAGGCGTGGTGTGAGAATCTGGCGGCTGTTCCTTTCGGGATCCATGGGAAAACAGTTTTGCCAATCGCCAGGAACTTACCGAAGAAGAAGTCGTCGAGGCATCGTTGTCTGTGCGGGCCGGCAACCTTTGTGAGTCACAGCCATCAGTACTTGGATATTCCAGGGAGCTCTTGCCGAGAACACCTCCCATCGCGAGAAGAAGGAGAAGACGGAGAAGACGGAGAAGACGGAGAAGGAGGAGAAGAAAAGGAGCGGCCCGGTGCTTTCACCTCCAAGGATGCCTTCCCCGGGCCCTGGATCAGTTGCAGCTGCACCGGCCGCAGCACCTGCTGCAGCACCTGCAGCCGCACCATCCACTGCTTCAATGGATTCTCAAAAGATTCAACAAGCACAGTGGTTTTCCTGGTTGCCGTGGTGGTTGTCACCCAGCACCTTGGCTACAACATGCCTCGAGTGAATTGCCGAGAATCAAAACATTTGCAACATCTGTCTCGGAGGGTTGTGCAATTTTGTGCCGTCGGCCAACATGACTTAACCACGGTCCAATGCATTCGAATGCGTTCTTATCGAATTACGCGGGTTGACTCGATCCGGAAAGACATGTCAGAGCTACTATACAGATAATCGCTTCCCACTATTATTAAAGCCTCCCCTAATATTAAAACTGCCGCCGCC